TGATACATATTGATGTCCCTATGCTGTGTAGAAAGTTTCAGCTGATTCCGACTTTAATTTTTCAAGTTACGGCCATTTTAAGAAAACACCAAAAATCTGAAAAATACCCAAGGTTATAGCCCATGGTTTTTTCCAAAAAATGGCTCCAAAATCACCTCAAATTTTTATTACATTTTCTGATACATATTGATGTCCTTATGCTGTGTAGAAAGTTTCAGCTGATTCCAACTTCAATTTTTCAAGTTACAGCCATTTTAAGAAAACGCCAAAAATCTGAAAAATACCCAAGGCTATAGCCCATGCTTTTTTCCAAAAAATGGCTCCGAAATCATCCCAAATTTTTATTACATTTTCTGATACATATTGATGTCCTTATGCTGTGTAGAAAGTTTCAGCTGATTCCGACTTCAATTTTTCGAGTTACGGCCATTTTAAGAAAACGCCAAAAATCTAAAAAATACCCAAGGCTATAATAGCCCATGCTTTTTTCCAAAAAATGGCTCCAAAATCACCCCAAATTTTTATTACATTTTCTGATACATATTGATGTCCTTATGCTGTGTAGAAAGTTTCAACTGATTCCGACTTCCATTTTTCGAGTTACGGCCATTTTAAGAAAACGCCAAAAATCTAAAAAATACCCAAGGCTATAGCCCATGCTTTTTTCCAAAAAATGGCTCCAAAATCACCCCAAATTTTTATTACATTTTCTGATACATATTGATGTCCTTATGCTGTGTAGAAAGTTTCAACTGATTCCGACTTCCATTTTTCGAGTTACGGCCATTTTAAGAAAACGCCAAAAATCTAAAAAATACCCAAGGCTATAGCCCATGCTTTTTTCCAAAAAATGGCTCCAAAATCACCCCAAATTTTTATTACATTTTCTGATACATATTGATGTCCTTATGCTGTGTAGAAAGTTTCAACTGATTCCGACTTCCATTTTTTGAGTTACGGCCATTTTAAGAAAACGCCAAAAATCTAAAAAATACCCAAGGCTATAGCCCATGCTTTTTTCCAAAAAATGGCTCCAAAATCACCTCAAATTTTTATTACATTTTCTGATACATATTGATGTCCTTATGCTGTGTAGAAAGTTTCAACTGATTCCGACTTCCATTTTTCGAGTTACGGCCATTTTAAGAAAACGCCAAAAATCTAAAAAATACCCAAGGCTATAGCCCATGCTTTTTTCCAAAAAATGGCTCCAAAATCACCCCAAATTTTTATTACATTTTCTGATACATATTGATGTCCTTATGCTGTGTAGAAAGTTTCAACTGATTCCGACTTCCATTTTTCGAGTTACGGCCATTTTAAGAAAACGCCAAAAATCTAAAAAATACCCAAGGCTATAGCCCATGCTTTTTTCCAAAAAATGGCTCCAAAATCACCCCAAATTTTTATTACATTTTCTGATACATATTGATGTCCTTATGCTGTGTAGAAAGTTTCAACTGATTCCGACTTCCATTTTTCGAGTTACGGCCATTTTAAGAAAACGCCAAAAATCTAAAAAATACCCAAGGCTATAGCCCATGCTTTTTTCCAAAAAATGGCTCCAAAATCACCTCAAATTTTTATTACATTTTCTGATACATATTGATGTC